AGCGGCAGTCGCTGTGGCTCAAGCTCGGCAAGTACTGCCTGGCCACCATCCAGGTCATGCAGAGCGAGCTCTCCTCCTCATCATCAGCTTCCACAAGGACTGGGTCGAACACAAGCAACGCATCGAGGTACCGCACACGCACTACCGCACACGCGACACGCGGGCTAAGATGTGTCTGTGTGTGTGTTGTGTGTGTCGTGTGGCAGGAAATTATAACGGAGTACAACAAGCTGAAGGCGGAGAAGAACAAGGCGCTCACGAGCGGGTCGCCAGCACAGAACACGGGCCTCGGGGACGAGGACCTGCTGCTCAACTGCGAGCGGATCGTGCGCGAGTGCGTGAAGCAGGTCGAGTTCAACCTGGGCGAGATCGGCCTGCGCGCAACCAAGGAGGCCCTCGTCGAGCTCGTCGCCAACCTCGTCCTCGAACGCGCCAAGTGCCACTTGTGACAGATTACGCCACGCTGTACTTATTTATATATCCTTTGTTAAAGGTTCTGAGCACCATTAGAATTGCCAGCAAAAATGTGGGTGAGGGCCTTGTGTGCCTGCTGCAGATGTGTGCTTGCATCCTGCAGGTGTGCTGCCAGTAGTGCATGCTCAGAGCATAGGGCCTCAGGGACAGGTGGTGGAGGAGGAGGCCTTTTGTCTGTCAAAATTATACTGTACCAAGAAAAATACTGTTTATCAAGACCACGTGTTATGTGCATTAGTAATTCCTATTATATCATTACATACACATACATGATGATTTAACTGCGTTTTATGCACATTTCATTTCGCCACTTGCACAATAACTATCATGTCTGATATCACTTCTTTATGCTTGCAGGCATTATAACCCATTTTAAGAAAATGGATTATAGATCAATGACACTCACTCTGGGCGTGATTCTGAGGATGATACTGCAACAATATGACTTGAGGTTCCTGTATCCCTTATTCTGGATGTGTGTGGTGATGATACTGGTTGGCAGGCTCCATCCAGCCAGCAGATGACAGATTTGGTGGACAGATGCACACCACAGCCAGCAGTGAAGATGCTCTCAACAGATCATTGCAAGTCCCTGCTGTTCCTCACTCTGTCTGCACAAGTTTGATTTATCACAGATACAAGCCTGTCACATCCAATATCTCAGCATGACCCAAGCAGCTTCGCACCAATGGCTGAGGACATTGATGGAGAACCAACCACTCCACCATCAACTCTACCATTTACATCATCAGGTATGCCCCATCCTACAGCTCATTTGTGATAGCTTCCTCACTACGCCAGTAGTGTGTTTGCAGGCAGGCGTTCATGCTTGTATATGGCATCTCTGAGAACAAAAAGGGCAACTTTTCCATTATGGACACTCTTTGAACTGGCAGGACCTCCACTGACACTACAGCTTGGGCCAGTGCATGGATAACACCAACATGGTATTACATCACATACATGTACACAATAACATATCCTGAATTTGCATGCTCACAGCTACCATAAATCCCTGAAATTTATCACATACACATAGGCAATACTCACTGCTTGCTTTGCTCCCCTTCTCCCTTACTCCAGTATGGCTGTCATGCTCCCAACTCAACCTCCATCTACATGCCAATGATCATGACCAAGGAAAATACTTGGATCCCTTGAACGCCCAGCACTTCACCCACGCCAAGCTGTTGAGTCTCTCTCACTTCTGCAAGATGTTCAAAGGTGAACACAAGCATATCAAGTTCCCTCAGTTCTGCATCCTCAGGCAGTGCAATATCTGTGCCTTGATGAATGACACCATTACCAACTGGATGATGAGCATGAGAGAGTGGGCGCAGCTAAAGCAGCACAAGCTGTATCACCTCAAGCTTGTTGAGGTGGAGTGGAAAGCTTATCACCTCCACCAGCAGGAGGCTGTTGCTGACCCCAGTGCTACCATGTTGATTATCATGGATGCTGGCTCAGCTTGATACCACCAAGCTCAACAATGCTGACCCTGAAGAAATCCTACCAGGATCTTGTCTCTCTGGAAAATCTGAACTTAGCTTGTTTTGTGTTAGTGCAACTTCAAAACGCACCTTGCTTTTGCTTTCATACCCTCCATCAATTCCACAATCAGTGGCCATGCTACTCTCAGAGGAGCACTAACACAAAACAATCTAAGTTCAGTTTTTCTGGATTGTGTATGAATGTGATAAACTTAGTAGTGGTAGGTCAAACATGTAGTCATTGTGTATGTGTATGTGATGAAGTAATGTGACCTTGACTGATGGCCCAGTTGCAGCATCATATCTCTCATTATGGTGTGTAAAGAACAAAAATTGACTTTTTGTCTGGTTAAATCCCAGCAGCCATGATTTTTCCCTTTTATGGTTTGTGTGTGCTGGCTGTTATGTGGTCAGGATAGGAACGAAAAAAACGATTGTGTACATGTACACAATAAAGTAAGTGTCTGTTTATATTTTTGGTTGTCATGTATATGTACATGAAATTGGTCATTCCATTTTCTCTCTCATTACAATGGTATTTTACTCTGCCATTTCTCAAGATGCTCCCAATTTTGTCTTGTTATTTTTAAATTAAAACCATTTTTGTGTTGTCCAAACCATT